GGGGGGGGGGAAGAGGGGGCGTATGCCTTACTGAATACCATCTCATTGATGTTCTATGAGGCCTCCTCGGCCGGCTCTGTGATCTGAGGAGCGAGTTCGGCATCGCGGATCGGTGCACACCCCACTCCTCTTAGTATGACACTCACACCCTCCTTCCTCACTGCATCCAGCTCCCTCTCACTCTTCACAAGAAGCATCCCAGCAAAGCCGAGCGCATTGATGCTGAGCTCGTCTCCCGTCTCCCGCAGCTTGTGGGTCTCTCGCATTCGAGGTATAATGTGTATGTGACGCAGTGTGATGAGCACATTGTATGACACTGAACCATACGTGGGCTCCGGTTGTCGCCTCAGCGTGTCAAACACGAGATCTAGGAGGTGGATGAACCCTCTCGATAATATGTGTTCGAGATCTTGGGGTTGTGATGATGCTGCAGACGACGGTAGCCGATAGACATAATGAGCGTAAGGAAGTTGTGAGAGGGCGAACGGTCTTGCTGTAACCAAGTTCAGCATGAACGAGCCGCAGGATCTGCTGCAGAACCCACTTTCATCTAGAACATGAGCTGCATGCGCAAGCCTTTCTATTGGCGGGCCTTCGGTTAACCCGTCCTCCTCCTCCGAAAGGAATTGCAGATGCTTGTGATGTTGACTTGCTCCACTCTGCTCGCCACAGTTGTAGAATGCGAAGATCTCCCGTCCAACTCGATGAGCTGCCTGCAACAGGCTGTATGTGGCTACAAGGTCTCCTGGCGATGGTGGAGTGCCCTGGGATTCATACTCTGAGGTTGAATATCAGAGTGTGCGAAGATTCTATTTTGTCTGCTCACCCTTGGTTACCAGCAAGAAATGATTCGGCACCACACTGTACTTGTTCAACTATATATGCATAAGCATTACAACTCGTTGGTTTGCTGACTAAAACGACGTACCAGGGCTACATACTGCGACTCACCCTCACCTCCATCAAGCGCACCTATGACTAATTTCTCTACATAGGGGGGTGCGAATGGGTCCTTCTTCTCGACGGGTGATTGGGTAAAGTCCGGAATTGGCAACACCGGCTTGTGCAGGAGAGCGGGACAATGCCTGATGCGGAACTTAAACAAGCCCAAAATAGCGTCATGAGTGTGTCTATTTCCAGCTCGCGCTGAGAATGCTCACAGCGATTCCATTCTCCTCGTACGTGTACTGGTCGGAGGGGAAGTACAGCAGATCGCCAGACTCTGACGCTTCCTTGGTGCAAGACGGAACACGCTTGACGAGCTCTTCAGCGGTGTACGTTGGCATTCTCCAGTCTGAGTAGGGCCGTGCACAGCGAGGAACAATGCGTGGTCGTATGACTCTGAATGAAGGAGCTGTTACAATCCGGCCCAGACGAGGGAGGTGGTGGTACGGGGTACAGACCATGTGACCTGTGCCTTTCAGACCCCAAATTGAGAGGAAGAGGACGAGACCGTTGGTACAGTGTAACAATTACAATTGTTGAGGTCAGGAGGGATCGACTTCAGCCATGTCCTGCAGAATACGCGGGAGACATGATCAGTTGGCAGTGCCGGTCCGAAATGGGCTTGTAGCGCGGGACGTGACAGGCACAGCGTGAGATTCTCCTTCAGGAAATGAATTATTCCCTGTTCATTGGTATTGCAATGCAGACCAGGGCAAGGAAGAATTTGAATGTCATCATTTGTTATTCCTCGTCCAAACACGTCAGCGGCGTGTTTCCTTCCGCTGTCCACAACCATGCTGAAGGGAAACGAGTCAAGGGATCGCATGATCGGAGGGTGTTTGGCTGGTGGCTCTGGCCGTTTCAGCGCCAGATTGGAATATGGCCAGGAACGAGGTGTTGAACAGATGAAGCAGGAGGACTGTTGACACATTTCGGGGAAGGTGGGATGTTAGATTGTAGAGAGATAGGCCCGCCGAGGTAAGAACGAGTTCCGATGAAAATAAGCAAAAATAAGCAGGCTGACTACTTTTGCTCAGGATACTGGGTTAGCATGTGAACAAGTATGTGCTGTTATTCGGTTCAAAGGTTTTGGCAGTGGACAAGCTAAAAGCGGGTAGGAGGAGATGGTCAACGGAAGCGGGCGGTTTACTATAAAGATACATGGTACGGTGAATCGGACCGATGACGAAAAGCGTACCACAGGGGTTGATGAGACGAGGAGAGAGAAGAAGGAAGCAGAGGAAATGAAAGAGAAAAAGAAACAAGTTATCGGCCCACCATTGAGAGCGGATGGAAAGTGTAGCACACACTTGGGTATCGTACGACTTTCGTGACGACGTGAACTGGTGCACAGCCACCCTGTGCCATCGGAAGGGAGGGCTCGTTTGATAGCCGCCGCTGTTCTCTTGTCCCTGCTAATGAGTCGAAAAGGCCCTTTGTCACCCTTCTTGCAGGGTGCGAAGATTACCGGTGCAGATGGGACTATTTGGGGGGGGGGGGAGGTTAGCACGCTGACCTCCATGTCCGATGTGAAATCCTCTCACAATCTCGGTCCTCGGGTGTCTGCTTTCACCCACCACCACACAGCACTTTGGCGCCACCTAGAATGCTCCGACACGCTTCCGTCAGGCGCCATCCCCATAGCTCGATCTGAAAACAGAGACATTCACCCAAAAATGACGCATCCAATTCATTCTTAGGCGCTCGCTCTTCTAGGCCCTCCTGCTTCCCACCTCCCCCCCCCCCTTCTCACCCACCTCCGTGTTACCTTAAAGCTGTAACCCTTATAGTCATCTCTACTACAACTCACTCCATCCCCTCCTCTTCTCGAAATGTGTCAGGATAACTCCGCTGGCGCTGCCTTCGACCCTGCTGCAGATATCCCCGATCTCACTGGCAGGGTCGCCCTCATCACCGGCGCAAAGTGAGTCCCCCATATCACCTCGGATCGACCTGCTGTGCTAACGACCCGCTGTGCTAACCTTAACAGCAGCTGTGGTATCGGGTTTGAAATAACCAAGCGTCTCGCCGCTGCTGGAGCACGGGTCTATCTCGGCTGCCGACATGCTGGTCGTGCACGTAAGGCAATGGCGGACATTCGGGAGTCGTTGAAGAGGGAGAGCATGGACCCCCGGAAGCTCGGAGAGAAGAGGCTAGCACCTCAGATGGAGTTTCTGCATCTAGACTTGATCACGGTGGAGAGCGTGAGGGAGACCGTGGAGGACTTTCTTCGGAAAGAAACACGATTGGACATCTTAAGTGTGTCACCTTCCACCATCATGTCCCGACTCAACTGACCCATATCATCTAGTCTGCAACGCTGTGACTCTTTCTAAGCAGTATGAACTGAACGAAGACGGGGTAGAGACCACTATGGCGGTAAAGTGGGTGCCATACTAGTGCCTGCTACAGACAAGCTCATTCAGGTCCAGCTACATCGGGCACTTCGCTCTCACAACCTTGCTGCAGCCTCTGTTGCTTCACACAGCATTATTACCTGGCGCCGACGTGCGTATCGTCATGGTGAGGTGTCATGTGATGCTATTTGTGTACCTGCTCATCATGTGCCCAGATGACCTCAGCATTACATACCAAAGTACCAAAGGATATCAAGCTCCACACTCAGGCAGACCTCAATGCCACAAAAGCGCAGTTTCTTTCATGCAAGGACAGCAGAATGGCGTGCTATCGTCGTTACTGTATGCTGCGCTGCTTCCTGTGTCTGGAAATAAACCCTGATTCTGTTCAGTTGTTTCCAAGCTGGCGCTCGTGCTTTTCACGCGTTCTCTGCAACGACGGCTAGATGCACATGAATTGCCGAATCCTATCATTGTCACCTGTGTCCACCCTGGAATGGTCTCATCTGGTGCGCCATTTTCATGTGTACCTGTGAGCTGTGGTCTGATAATCCACCATGTAGAAAACATGAAGTCTCAAGTCCCCGCGCCATTTCGACCTCTCCTTCCACTTTTCTCCATTACCCCGCCCCGCGGCGCATATACACCGCTGTTTGCCGCGACGGCGCCCGTCGTGCGCACAAGGCGGCGAGAATACGCCGGCCAATACCTCGTGCCTTTTGGCAAAGTTGGTAAGGTCGCCAAGGCCGCGGACGGGGAAGATGGCGAGGCCCTTTTCCGAATCAGCGAAGAAATCGTCAGATCTTCTACGCGCGGGTGCGGCCGAGAAAGCTGAGACAGGGCAGCCACGCCATCTGCTTGCCGATCTACCATCATCCACAGCCTCCTTCATCTTTCACGACAGTCCAGTCGTCCCACCGCGCGAAGCCCCTTTGGCGCTCAGTCAAACGACTGTTCATGATCTCACGACATGCTATTACTAATTCACTTTCTAACTAACCTTCTCCCTTATTTTCCGATGGGTTCTGGAGCTAACGAATAAGCTGATTCTCAGGCATATTTATCCCCCATACCCACTACAGTATGTACATTATCCTTGCTGGCACTACAACATCAGAAATAAATTCCTTCACGGCCTCTGCCGTTCCCACTGTTCACTTCGTCGACGCCGCGGCTTTCTCAGCTGGCGCACAATTCAGGAACACCGTCGCATGATCAACGCATCTGCAGTTGATATTCGCGTTATCAACCCACCGAGTTCCATGGATTCGTTGTGCCTATAAACCGGCCATGATAATAATCGGATAAGGATCGATGGGTCAACTATTGTCTGCTCAACAGATGGATGCAAAGCCTCGACCCCACCGTAACACACGCATGACCTTCCCAACCCCAGGATTGATTTCCTATTTCTTTCTAGTGCGTGTAACGACGACCACTGCGGTGCGGTACATTGATAAGAAGAAGGAAGAAAGACTGCTCCCCGCCCGGGGCTCTTTGAACAATGATGCGTGGTGGTGAAAGTATGAGGGAAGAATCAATTTCGCCGAGACCAGAAGCAATGAGAGCAAAGAAAGGACTGAGAAATGAACGAGACAGAAGGAGAAAGGGGAAACCCAGGGCGGGGACAAGGTAGCGAGTAGCAATCATGCCTCACTCCCCTTGCCCCGTCCTTTGTTCGCCTTCTGTTCTGGCATCATTTCGCCCTTCAGTTGTGCGCCTGTGTACGCAAAGATGGTTACAAGGGAGTATATGGCTGCGTTGATACCCTGATTGGTATTCAGCGTTTGTTCACTGTGAAGAAGAAACAGGGCTCAGGGCTCACCTGATAGAACAGGACACTTAGGAAGGCCAAACCAAAGTAGAGTGATGCCTTGAACATGAAATTTCGGTAGACAAACGACTCTTTCATCGACTTCAACGGTGGTAGTTCGAGCATCAGGATCACCACGGAGAGGATCATTGTTAGAATTTGCACGAGGGGGACTTGGACGATCACTGCAACAAACAGGGCAGAGCCGGGTCCAGGGCTACGGGAAATGTGAGATTGGGATTTTGGGGATGCAGACATACACGTACATGATTCCCGCGGGACCCAGCGTCCCGCCGATCATGTCCCAGAAGAACTTGCGGAAGAAGAGGCCCCAAAAGCCTGCCCACAGCGCATCTGGAATACGGAATAAGGCAACGAGGGTCTCAGACAGGCGGACGCTTACATGCAGCAGAGGTGAGGCCGAGATAGTGGGCCCACTCATACCAAACTAGATTTCCCATTTTGCTTTGTTGCAAACACGAACTTTGAAATCTACAGTTGGATCAAAAAGTGTCGGAGCACGTGTTGATGAGCAGCACGTACTCAAATGATTATTGAACGAGGTCGAACTGCGCTGCAGTCCTCTCTAAGCACTGACGAAGGAAAGCGGTTGATAACGGCGAAAAGGGACTGTCTACCCAGTAGACCAGCTCGTCCAGCGAGAGCGAAAGAGCAGCGGAGCGGGGAGCAGAAGGCGAAGGGAAGAGTGGGCGCGCCCGGGCGAGGGGGGATCCCGCTGTACATGGATGGACCTTTATAAGAAGGTGGGACGATGTGGGTCACCATGACGGCTATAACCACACGCTCACCAAAAGACGACCGGGTAGATCTCCGTCGCGTCGCCGTTGTCCTCCCGATGCTTCCGTCTAAACACACCGATAATCCGGCAGATTCGTCAAGGGCGCGCCTTGTGGTTCCGCGTGACTACCTGATTTTAGCCACCACTTCGGGAAGGTATTACCACACCCCCATAACGTATAATATTCCTAACATCGATAACCACATAGAATCAAGAAGCTACAGCGATCATCCGAAAACATGCACCTCTATCGCTTCTGCTTTCTAACATTAAAATGCTTGACACCACTCTTCTTTGACCCAGCTTGCGCCAAAGAAACATAAGCATATGGCTCTGGTTGTCCAGCCTTACGAACATCACCCTTCGCTTTCTTGGACCGGAATTCTTGCCCAAGTTTAGTAGGCTGCTTCCTATCCTCGAAGGTCTTCTTTTTGGGAGGTTGGTCAGCATCAGCCATCTCAACATCTCCATCCATGTCCTCCTCTGCTCGCCGCTTCTTCGTGTTCTTGTTAAACTTAACCTCGCCTCGCCTTCCACGGGTGAATCCATCAGCAGAAGTCAAAGTCTCACGGTACGCATTGCCTTCGACATCTTCAGTAGTAGGAGTAGCGTCTACCATTTCTTCGTCCTCAACAATGACCAACCGACCACTTTCATCCGTCTTGAAATTGGAAGCGTCCTGGCCAGGCTTCCGGTGCTTCGCCGAACTCTTGGTAAGCTGAGCTGCGGCGTCGTGAAGGAGATCCATTGGCTCGTCGGCGTCCATTCGAAGGCGAGCTGCGCCCTTGGCACCCTTCTTCCCGCCAGGTACGTTTCGGACAGGCCGTTCGTCATCGCTCTCATCCTCCAGCTCACTCTCGCTACCGTAGAGTACATCTTCAAACGCATTGCCTGCACGAGTACGATGCATATCATCCTGTGGGGTGTTAGAGCACACATATAGATGTGAGTAAGGAAGATAGAATCACCTCATCACTTTGTTCTTCCTCGCCACCAGCCTCAGCCGTTGCTTTCTTTCGTTTCGCCCGATCCTTCCGCTTCTTGATGTTTGTCAAGACCTTGGCATCCTCCTCATCCGCTTCATTATACACAGCCTCAAACCCAAACTTGCGTATCAAGCGCTCGAAGATGTGTCGCACCTTCGGCTTGAAGTGATTCTTGTGATCATGTGACCATTTGAGCAACGCAGGAATCACGGTGGGCAGATGGGGTCGGACAGTTTCAGAAGGAAGCGCGGTTACAACGACCTTGGCGAATCCAAGCGCAGACTTGACGATCTCTCGGTTTTTGGATTCAACAAACATGATGATAGTGGATATGAGTTCCTGCTTCATCTCATCGGGAATGGATTCCCTGAATTCGAAGAGAAGACGAGACAGCGCCGTGATGGAAGCACTGATCATATGTGGCGTTGTGCCAGCCAGACCGGCCGCTACCATGGTGATGAACTCCTGTATTGACGCAGGAACGTCCTCATTGTCCTCCATTTCCCCTAAAAGGGAGCGAGAGATGGTGCCTCCTTGCGACATTTTGTTGCCCATCTGAACGAGCAGTTCGAAAGCTTCGTTACGAGCCCCTTCATTGACTTCCTTTGTCCCCAGAACCGCCTCAGTCAGCATCTGAGCGATGTAGTGTAGCAGTGTAGGAGGGATATTCGGCACCAGCGCGGCGAAGACAGACAACCGGTCCCGCTTCGCACCCGCGGCAATGGCAGCCGAATTCTCAGACAGAACCGTGAGGAGCCTGTCGGTACCTTCGCCGTTATGAAGGATTTTTCCAGATTGCGCCAAGCGCGCAAGCAGTCGATAGGCTTTCTTTTGTATCGAGGCATCCTTATTGGCGAGGAATTCCGGGGTGGCGACCATCCATAGGAGGTTGTTCGCATGTTTCAGAGGGAGATGTGGAACGAACAGAGTGAGCAGGTCGAGCATGGTGTAGCTCACAGAAGTGCCCGAAGCTGGTACCACTGGTGCGTGCTTCTTCATATCGTCCTTGAGGAGATTAATCACCCTCTCGTAAGTGCTTGCGATAATTTTAATATCGGCAATTTTGAAGTATGTGGGTATGACGTCTCCTATCTGACCACGGGCATCTCGCTCCGCACTGCCGAATACGTTGAAAAAGACTGAAAGCAGGTTGCCAGTGATTCCACGCAAAAAATCAATGTTCGCCTTTCCGTCTGATTGGTCCATGCCGAACCTGTTCTTCAACTCCTCCTGGGGACCCGAGGAAGAAGCCAATGATGTGTTTCGCTCAACGAGGCGTTGCAGCCCTCGTAGTACTGCAGATCGCATGGACGGCTGTTGGTACAGGACCTGAGTAAGCACCTGGGCGAATTCGGGAGTGAATGCCTGGGAAGCAGTCAGATCTGACACATGTGCATAGAAAGGAAATGCTCACCGCCTTCAAGTCCACCGGCAGGTCACAATACGCCGGGAAACAGGCCCATATTTGTTCTACCAGCGCCCCATACACTTTCGCCTCCACCGCCTTTCCGTCCTCTTCTGCCTTTGCTTGAACATTGAACAATCTCTCAGAAAGTAGCACGAAGTATTGGACAAAGTGGCCCAAGGAAGCATTCGTCACCCGAGAACGCAGCAAAGGGAGCAGATACGCGCGACCTTCATCCACGGCTAGTTTTTCTGGCTCCAGATTGAGTGGGAGAACGTCCAGTACTCCCTCAGGCCCTATGACCTCGATTGCCATCCCTAGTACTGCATCCGCGCGCTCACGGTGCTCGAAACCTTTCTTGATGCGCATGGCTCCGACGATTTTGATGGTGCTAATCATGAGCTTCTCTGCCGCCGTCGGGGGTCGAGTAACTGAGTTGCCAGTCCTGACACGCAGACGAGAAAGAAGGGCAGTGATCACTCGCATGACGTAAGGGACCGCCTGAGCGTAACTGATATTGCTCAGAGATGTTTCAGCAAGACTGATGATCCCACCAAGAGTGGTCTTCGTCCGCGGGACTTCTCCCTTTGCATTGAGGGCCGCCTCGACGAGTGGCACCGTGATGCAGTATCTCGCGATCGCAGAGAGTGCATCTGCCGCGGAAATCAAGATTGCGCTGTCGTCCTGCTCGAACCACTTCCACACTGTTCTCCATACGTTCGCTACTTCCTTCGCACACCCATCGGAGTCATCCTTCGCGTATGCAACCATTCCATGCTCTACGACCCTAAGCCAGGCAGCGGCCAATAGGTGATCATTCTTATCTGGCTGGGACCCGAGCATGACAGACAGAATAGACGGAATTTTTCCTTCCTCGAAAGAAGAATCGGAGGCGCTGCGAGAGAGGAGGAGAGAGAGAAGATCGTATGCGTTGGTCGTCATGTAGCTTGAGCTCAGAGCAGGCAGGCGTAAGAGACTGTTAACCAATTGAGCGATCCGCTTCGAGTGGCAAGTTAGGTAATTTTCGCAAGGAACAGTGCTGTATGCTTACCTCAGAAGGCCAATAAGGAGCAATAGTCTTCACAAATGCACAGCTCCAAATTCCAATCTCCATCCCTGTATTCGCCTTCCCAGCTTTCGCCTTATCCTTTGCACGCAGCGCTCCGGACTTCCCGACCACATCGTCCAGCTGTCGAAGGATATAATCGGCCACATCCACAGCATAGGGATGAATCAGCGCGGGAGCCGGAGGGGAAGCCAGGACAGCCTGTACGACGTCTTGAGCCTTCTTGCGGACTTTTGGTCGTGGGTCGAGTGAGTACTCTGTGATCGTTGCGAAGGACTGGCGGACAAGTGGTGTGTGCAGCTGCGACGATTCGAGGTGCGGTAGCCAGGCTTGGTATATGCCGAGCAGAGAGCGAAGAGGAGGAGCACTATTGCTCAGGGGGTTCAAGAGTGGTGCAAGGACGCCGAGCGCCGTGTGGGTGTGTGTGCGCAGGACGGCGGATGAGACCTGCGGCACAACCAAGGCAAGCAGGTAGAGCACCGATGGTAGTACGTCTGCCTCCCCAAGAGACAGGGTACCCTCTTCATGTTCTTTCTTCACCTGCTGCTCAAGCGTCGATACTAGCGCAGCGAAATACGCCACAGGCGTGAGGTTGGCATTTTGTTCCTGGAGGGTGTCCTCGATGGCGACCAGGAGGAGCGCAGGGGCCTTTTGATTAGGGAGCGCGGCCGTGACGTGGGGTCGAATTTTCTCCAGCTCTTCTTGCAGAAGATAATCAGCACTGGACGAGCTTGACGCCGCCATGGCTGGAAACCAGGTTCAACTGAGACTGCCTGTGCAAAAGACTTGTGAGCACAAATATCGATAGGGTGCAAGGGTCCATCCAGAAAAAAAACATAATTGGCCGGAAGCTTTTCCATCACAGTCCGGTCCACGCGACAAGGGACGTGGCCTCCGTCTTAAGCGCCAAAACGAGAAGAGAACGACGCGAGGTCCACTATCTCAAGGACAAATTACCCTTCACGATTAGCAAATTATGTGGTTGACGGACGCACAAAGTACGCCTATCTACTTCCTCCTCACTTCTACTTATGGCTGAACGAGCGCGACAGAAATCGGCGTTGGCCTGACGTCCTTCGGGGCATTCTTCCTCCTCTTAGGCGTCGTGCTCTTCTTCGACGGTGCTCTCCTTGCCCTCGGCAATGTGCGTCCTTCCTGACCCCCGTGCCTTTTTTTCTTACCGCAAACAGGTGCTCTTCATCTGCGGCCTGACACTCATTATCGGCCCCAAAAAGACGTTCTACTTCTTCGCACGTCGGCAGAAGTTAAGGGGAACAATATGCTTCCTCGGCGGGATCGTGCTCGTCTTCATCAAATGGCCATTCGTGGGGATGCTTGTGGAAACTCTGGGGTTCTTAAATCTCTTTGGGTGCGCATGATCATACTACGTGGACGAACGCCTTTGACACCCTGGGCTGCAGAGACTTCTTCCCCGTCATATTGACATTCCTACGACAATTGCCTTTTATTGGCAATTTCCTATCAATGCCCTTTGTGAGCCATGTAAGTGTTTTGAACGCGGCGAAGGGCTATGTGCTTAGTGTCACCCAGATACTCGATCGATTAGTAGGATCCAGACCCTCAATGGTATGATTCACCAATATCACCGCTCTCCGAGCTACGACCACGTCCACGTGATCCTGCGTGGTAGTATACCATGGAGACTATCTCTGTGTGTGCGACCATCTGGCCCGTGATTACCACGGATACTCCGGACATGCTGGGTAGCGTCCGGTTGTACATACCTGGTGTTTTACGTTAGAACTCGCGTCCGTCACGGATCTCTTATACATGTCATAATAGCGACGACTCAGCACTGAAGGATAATTGCCGTCATGAGCATGCCCTGTGAAGAGTTTGTCTATAAGAGCCACACAAAATGAACCACTGTCGATGAACATACGTTTACGGTGTATCACGTGACGAAAACGCTCATGTCCAGCTTTGAGAAAGTCGAGAATTGCCAGTCACAAGGTCATAAAACCTTGAGTCGAAGAACTCAAACTCCCAATATTGATTTGCAAGGCTGGGAGTTGAACCCAGCGCTTTCCAGGAATAACTAGAAAAGCGATGCCCCCAAAACCGTCAGGATGAATCACAACATTCATTCTCACCCCTCAGTTTCCATCTCCGCATGCTGCACCCTCCATGCTAAACTTCGCGAAGCTATCTGTAAGTAAGTAAAATCCGTTGATAAAAAAGGTACGCAATGTCAATTCCGAGGCTGGGATTTGAACCCAGCGCAATCCAGCACCTGGTTAGGTTCGGATAGTTCCTGGGACTCTCAGGACCAGGTCTTGTCGACCATAATGTCGTGTTTTAGGTTCCGTCAAAGCTGTGCACGGTGGCGTTTTCCTGTTAGCATGTGATTTGTCGGGTCACCGTTCCTTTTCGGCACTTGTCATATTTGATATTGTCATCTTCCATCACTATCTACTGCCCATCTTCTTAGGAACCTTGATATTCACTTGCTCATGTCTCCTGCTGATGGTTCAGATCATACATTCTTATGTGTCTGTCTGTCTGTTTTATCCTTGCTGATTCAGTTCTCTCTTCTGCCTGTCTGTCTCTGAACATCTGTCTACTGTGTCTTGTTCATTGTTGTCATGCCTTGTACAGCTGCTCTTGATCATTCTATCCATATGGTAACAGTCATAGATGGCCATACTGGTCTGCTGACAGTCTCTGGTGATATCTGTCAGATAGTGACCATTGAGCTGTGGTCATGGAATGACTTCATACTTGGTTTTTTGTTGTTTCAGTCTATAGTGTCTTCAAGATTCCTTCGTGATCCTCATGATGTTATCTTATGTGACATATCTGTACATGACCTGATAATAATCTTTTCTTATCTTACTAAGTCTGACCTCCTCAGTATCACCTGTTTGAGCCACATATTGGAGGATTTACCTGTCTGGCTGGATAAGTCAATGCTGGTCAGCTTGATGTTGTCTTGTACATGTCAATGTCATTCTTGTCTCGATGTTTGTTTTCTTTTCTGATTGCATACTCACAAACAGACTGCCTCTCTTATGGACAGGTCTGCTGATCTGCCTTCTGTTTCTGATGTCACACTTGATGATTTCCATCCAGCCTTAGATTGTCACATGCCTATATCTGCATTTACTCATGGTCCCACTGTTCCTGCAATGGCAGATGATGACTTGAAGAGGCATATTGTTGACTGTGTATCTCAGTCACTTTTGGTTACTGAATATGTCCAATTGCCATGTGCTGTATGTGCCATGTCTTGCCAATCTGCTGCCCTCTTCAAGACACCTGTCAAATATGTGGATTTTGCACTTTTATGCAATGAGTTGATCCCTCACCATCTGTTATCAGTTAACTATAATATAGAATCTTATTGTGGTGCAATTCTGTGTCATGAGGGGCTTTCTAATCCTTTGCTTTGTGATGGATTCATTAATTTATGCTCTGTGTGCAGTACTGCCCTGCAAGATGGCAAGATACCAGAGTTCACTCTAAGTAATGAATATTACTTTGCCTACAACTGCTTACTGAGATCTGTGCAAGATTCTTTTTCTTTGGCTTTGGTTTTTGATCTTATGTTGATTTTGCATGTACAGGGCAACACTGTCACTTTCAAGTACTGTGATTGACCAAATAATACTGATTATGGTTGGCCTCATGGAAGTACCCAAAGTTACATGAAAGGTAATGTCATGATATTGCCTCAGGACAGCCTGTCTTTGAGCTCAGTCTTGCTGCCTCCGCCTGATGATGTTCTGAAGTTGGTAGTGGTGCTCTTTGCTGGTTCATTAGGACATAATTCTGATTCTATTTGATCATTTAAACTGGTCATGGTTACCCCCAGCATTGTCTGTGAATTGATTACTTTTCTGCTGCTCAATAATCCAGTGTATTCAACTATTGAACATGTTTTCACTGGTCCCACTGTCTTCAGTGAATTGAATCTCAGTGCCTTGTCTGGTTCTCTGAACTTGAGTCCATTGTCTTCTTGGATACCTCCCTTCATATCAGTCACACATCTGGATGGTTTGGACCCCGTTAATTCATTAGATACAGCATATGATGGAAGGGCAGAACTCCATAATGGCAGTCATTCGATGGATTTGTTGCTAGTTGACACAGTCGGTTGGACAGACTGTGATGTCACTAATGAGAACTACAATCATATGAAGACCTCTGCTTTGGCTTGGTATTTAGGAGGAAACTTGTTCATATGCAGTATTGCTGGCACAACACCGTTACAAGATTTTGACTGTCCTTTGTTGGTCACCTGGATGTGGCCTTGTCTAGACCTGTTTGGTCTCTTTTGTTTCGGAAAGAATAAGTCTGGTCTTCAGTGGACATTTGGCGTCAAGTCAAACACCTGCTGTCCTTATACCACTCTTTGTTTGCAACTGACCAGTCTTTCTCTTTTGTCTGTTACAACATATTACGCAAATGAGAAATTTACAGGACCATTCATTTTAGAATCAAGTCTGCAGAATGAACATGTCTGTTGAATATGTTGGGCACTATTTCAGTTGATAATCTGTTAGCATTCAAACATAAGGTCTGTTCTAATCCTTTGTATGTTCCTTGAACTGTCAAGGAGAGAGCCACACATTCAGTGTTGCATCATTTGAACATGACATGCCTTCACTTGCCTGGCTCTGCTGGGTATAAGGTGAAGTGTCATAATGAGATTTGCAGCATGATGTCAGTTCTGTCAACACCATCATTGTTTATCACTCTCAATCCTTTTGACCATGCTCATCTGTTGGTCCGGCTACTTGCCAGTGAATCTCTGACTGTTGACAATGCTCAATCAGGTGATGAAGACAAAAACAGTTTTGATGTGCATTATTAGTGGCCAAGCATCCTGTGGCAGCTGCTTCTTTCTTCAATATTGTCATGAACTCTTTCATTAATGACATACTAAGGTATGGTCAATCCAAACAAGGTCTGTTTGGCAAATGTCTTGGTTATTATGGGATGGTAGAAGCTCAAGGACACAGTATGTTACATTGTCATTACATTGTATGGCTTGAAGGACATTTACCTCCTCAGTTGATGAAAGAGTTTGTTGAGACAGACATGACCTATTGTAACAGGTTGATGGAATGGTTGGAGTCTCTCATAAAGTGTGAGTTGCCTTTGAACACTGTTCTAGTTGGTTCTGCTCCTGATCAAAGACCAATGAAGTCCGGTACAATCAATGTTAGATCTAATCAATGTCCTGTAACTTCCAGTATGACTTCTGATCAGTTTCAGGCTATATTCATGAATCAGGTCAAACAACTAGCCATTCAATGCAATTGGCACAGTCATGGTTCCACTTGCTGGAAAGATTTGTCCCCTTCTGATAAGAGAAATGATGATACATGTCATATGCGGATGAATGGCAGCATGAATGTGATAACTCATTATGACTCTGAAAGTGGTTCCTTCCTCTTGCAGAGACTACACCTGTGGATGACAAACTATAATGACATCTGTATGTTTCTGTACTGGTGCAATATGGGTATCAAATTTATTGGCTCTGGTCAGGCAGCAAAAGCTTTGATGTTCTATATTACGGATTATGTTTCTAAGTCTGATCTACCTCTTTACAAAGGTCTATCGGCTTTGTCATATGCTATTAAACAGAATGACTTTGACAGTAGTGATGCTCATTCAGTTAGTCAATCAAACAATTTGTGGAAGGCTGTCACCAAGGTCATCAATGCTGTCATGGGCCAGCAGGAAGTATCCCATGCTCAAGTCATGGCTGAGCTGCTGGGACATGGTGACTGTTATACCAGCAGTTCATTTGGTATCGTTCAGTGGGGTTTGTTCAATTGACTCATGACAGATCATTTCAAGGCTGATAGTAAGTCATTTACTGGTATCCATGGAGAACAGTTGTTAGTCAGTCATGACTGTAGGTGGGATGTGTCAGGTGTACAGTCTGACATTTCATCCGTGCCTTTAAATGAAACCACTTTGGCCAATACATATGAGGAGTTATTGGTAAATGATGATGGACTGTCTTCATCAAATCAGCAGTTAGACTATGTTTATTGACTGCTGACAGACACTTTCAAGTCTTTATCCCTTTGGGAGTTTGTGGCTCATACCATCAAAATGACTGTGCCAAAGGATGAGTGCTTCCAAATACAACAGTCTATGGATGAACATAGAAGAGGAAGACCGGCACAAGAATGTGGTACTTTCAGTGACAAACATCCACAAGTTTCTTTGCATTGTCTATGCATCAGAACCCAACCAGTATTCCCTGTCCTGTTAGGTCCATCTCTGCCTCGCCAGGATGGATCAGCTGCTGCATTTGACCAGTGGTGTCATGTGATGCTCATCCTCTTCAAACTGTGGAGACTTCCTTGTGATTTGAAAGAAGACAAACAATCCTGGTCTGATGCATTTGAAGGCTCTGAATTTCCCATTCCTTTGCAGCATGTTATGGACAACTTAATTATGACAACAGACTGCAAAAATGTCCAAGATGATCATCAATCTGAGTTTCATCATTGTAAAAGTCAGTGCAAGAGATGGACAGCATTGCAGGAATTGCTTTTGCAACCAGATCTGTCTTTGATGGATGCAGTCATGGTTGACACTTCATTAGACGTGTCTCTACCTTATTGGACCGTCCTAGGCAACATGTCAGACAGTTTACCATCAGACATAAGCTCTGCTGTACATCATATCAATCACTCTACCACAATTGATGGTGCCATAGACAATGACATTCATGTGCTTGTCCGAGACTTGGCCAAAGACGTTACAGGGAAAGACTGTTCTGACATCGACCACTTGCAGGCTAAAATGGTCAAAGTTCATCACAAGAAGCAGCCTCTTGAGTGTGAAGATGTGTCTGACTCCACCCATTCCTTACGGCATCATCTGAATGAATGTGATCCTGTTATAGAACAGACAGTGGTTGACTTTCAGATTGATCACTCTGCTGCTACTGTACCTTTGTCAGCCACTTCTATCGCACAGGTTTTGATTGAAGAATGTGGCATGTCAAGCAATCTGGAGCAAACTGCTGCTGTCCTGAAAATTGCACAACATATCAACATGGGTGGCAACAATTAGATGTTGATGTACCTTGGAGGCATAGCCGGCACCGGTAAAAGCTATGTTCTGGAAACAATCATTCAGGTATTTGAAAGACTAGGTCAAAGACACTGTCTGATGCTGACAGCACTGACTGGCATAGCTGCCATCAATATCAGTGGTATATGATTCATTCTGTCATGAATATGAGACCAGGCAAAAAGACTGGCCATTCTACTCCACACACATCAGAGTTGTTACAGTCCCAATGGAAGGATATCACTTGGCTGGTAATTGATGAAGTTTCCATGATTGGCGCTGGCATGTTGCGCAAGATTTGCCACAAGTTGAATCTCACCTGTGCTGCATGGCTTCTGCATGCTACATCGTCTGCATTTGGAGGTCTGAATGTCATATTCACAGGCAACTTTGGCCAATTGAAACCAGTGTGTGCCAAGTCACTGTATGATTATTGGCTCATCAGCAAAATTCCTCAGAACATTGTTGAGTCTGTTGCTGGTCAGATGGAATTATATGGTGCCTGTTTATGGAGGCAACTCACCACAGCTGTCATTCTGAAACAGAATGTATGACAGAGCAGTGACAGATGTTTCTGTAATTTGCTGAATCGAGTCAGATGCGGTGTAGTGTGGAATGGCTTACAACCTTTGAATGACTTTCAAGCAGGTATAAAAGAGTATGGTAACTTTACCTTGTCTGACTATGATATTCTCATGAGTAGAACAATCTGTTCAGTTTTGGCAGCAGTCAATGGCTCTGAGTCAATACAGTCCTTTTCAGACATGCCTTTCATCCTCATTAGTAGAGTATTGAGGGATGAATTGAATAAATGACAGGTTTTGACTTTTGGTACTGGTCAAGAAGTACACTGGTATCATGCAAAATATACATTGGGTCATGTAACAGTTACTGACAATGTTCAGTTGCAGTTGTGGAAATTGTCCTCTACTGTCACAGAAGATGCTCTGGGAATGCTGCCATTGGTCATGTTAGGGCAACACAGGCTGACTAAGTCTGCTCACCTAAGAGTGCCAAGAGTCTAAGCAGGCAACAAGGAAGTGGAGTAGACCTGATGACTAAGACCTATCTACAGTATAGGTACCTGTGGATGATCCTAAGAGACCAAGTCTGAAGAGACAGTCCCCAGGCAGAGTAGGCCTTATATTTATACCTCT